GCCAGAGAAGCCATTCAGCCTACCACAATCTACCTCGGCTTCTTCAGCACTCACCCCACAGCCTACCTCTCTCGGCCCAAGAATAAGATGAGAGACCGTGAGAGTGGCCCATCCTCTCCTCAATGCAGATTTCAGCCACAGTCACCAAGCTCCACAGCTACCATCCACAGCTCGGTGGCTCAGATCTGAATGCTGACCACGCTCATGTACGGGGACAATGACTGCTTGTACAGGCCTGTACCACAAAGCACCCCACAGACACTGTTATTGTTCTTGAAGCTCTCATCCGTCACCTCTAGTGAGAGGGGCTGGTCACCACCATCCCGAGGGCGCTCCCCACTAATAAAGCGGAGAGCCTTCAGAGTAACCCAACTCTAGTCTTCCTCCTTCCTCTACACCGTCCATCGATCTGGACACAAATCCCAGCTCTACCTGGTAGTAACTTCAGTAACAACAAGAACTAGCATTTATTGAGAAAGTTACCCTGGGCAGACCCACACTGTGGTCTATGTGCCCAAGCTCACTGAATACCCCAGCGGCCCTGTGAGGGAACTACTCTGGTCCCCCACCATTTGTGGCAGACCATAGACTAGAAACCAACATTCATCCCCCTTCTCCAACAGCAACAGGACTCCTACTATATCTGGCACAAAGGCCAACTAGAATAAAGTCTATACCTCTTAGCCTTCCTTGCAGCTGTATATGACCACAGGACTACTTTCTGGCCAGTGGGATATGAGTAGAAGTGTCATGTGCAAACATCTAGAAGCTTTCTTAACATTTGGCCTGAGCACCTTGGTCCCTTTTCCTTCCCTTCAGGATGGAATGAAGACACGATGGCTAGAGCCTGAGCAGCTCTTACACCTTGAGACAACACTGGGAAGAGAAGCCATGCACAGCTAAACAACAAAATGGTCCCTGAGCAGAACTGGCTACCTCTGGGTTTCTATGTGGAAAACAAAATAAACTATTTTGTTTAAACCACTGATGTTTTAGGTTTCTGTTTTTCGCAGCCAGAGCTGATTCTACATGCTACACTACTTCACATGCACATCAGGCAACCAGGCTCAGGGAGACAGTCACTCTTCCAAGGTTACACTGTACGTAAATGGAATAGATGGAATTTATACCCAGAACTCTATGAACCCAAACTCTATGGACCTATCCGTTTTGGCATTTTGCGTCCTGGCTGTTACATTGGACAAGTTGCTGCACCTCTCTGAACTCCTATTTCTGCAGTACAAAGCCCAAGTGAAGAGCTAGTAGAGGGCGAGAATGCCAGTTCTGCCCTCTTGCTATGTGACTATAGGCCCTGACTCTCTGGGCCTCGGTCTGCTCATCTGTCATATGAAGGTAATAAGAGCCACCTCCTAGGCTGGGGTGAGGATATGATGAAGCAGAGATGCAAATCAAGTGCTTAGCACAGTGGTTAAAACGTAAATGCTCAATAGCATTAGCCATTATTATCAGCCTCACCTTTAACACAGAGATCAATACCAACCTCTCAGGGCAGCTGAAAGGACTAGAAAAAATGTGCCAAGGTAGCGGGCACTGGGTCTTTGGCAACAATTCATTCCTGAGCACTGGCTGTGTTCCTGGCTCACTGCTGGGGCCTCAGCTATCACCAACATAGACTCAGGCCCTGCCCTTGTGGTCATATTATAGTTATTCTGACACCACCAGAGACAGGTCTCCCTCCAGCCTAGTGGTTCCTTCATGGGAAGTGAGGAGCTCTCAGAGATTCCTCTCCTAGGGTTAATAACAGCCTCTGTCCCATGGGTGACTGTGAGGATTCAAAGAAATCACACATCTAAAGCTCTGGTGCCTGAGAAGAATCAATTAAAATGGTAACTGATATTGTTAATATTGTTTTAGTTCATCTGTTCTTTCAAAAACTTGTTGGGGGCCGGCCAAGTGGCGCATTGGTTAAGAGCTGGCTTGGGACACCAGAGGGCCCCGGTTCGGATCCCACATATGAGGGCCAGTGACTCTGCCCTCCACAGCTAAGATGCTGAACAACAGCTCAACCTGGAGCTGGGCTGCCGTGAGTCGCCGGCGACGGCGCAGGCTGCAGCCCCTGCTGCAGTGGGTTGCCATGGGCTGCAGTGGGTTGCCATGGGCTACCATGTGTGGCCAGCAGCCAGTGTGAGCGACCAGCAGCCGCAGTGAGCGGCCATCCAGAAGCCAGCAACTGATCTGCCTCGCCCAGGAAAAGCATAATGATGGTGCCAACTTGGGCCAGTGAAGCAGCGTCCTCCACAACTAGACTGAAGAACAAAACGACAGCAATTTGTCTGTTCCCCTTCCCCAATTCCCCAGCGCTGTTCCCATCCCCCAATTTTCCAATAAAAATCTTAAAAAAAAAAAAAAAAATTGTTGGGCCCGAGCTTTGTATGCAAATGTGACCCAAATATATCTAGTCTCCAATCTTACAGAGCTGGATATGTGTGTTAAATTCCACAAAGGTGCAAGGACAGGGTACTATGACCGCACTTATAGGGACACCTGACTGAGTGGTGATGGGGATGAGGGAAGACTTCCCTGAGGACTGAGACCTGACAGATGAACCAGGAACAGGAGTTAGCCAGTACAGGAAGAGCTCAGGCAAAGGCTCTGTGGCCAGAGAGGGTTATATAATTCTGGGAGGTAAACTTATACTCTGTATACATCCTTTGTGTTATACAATGTTGCCTAGGTAGTGAGGAGACAGATGGCTTGAGCAAAGAAACCAGGCAGAGCAGGGTGGCCTGAGGCGGGCAAAAGCCAGACCAGCAGGACCTTGAAGGCTGTGTTGAGGAGCCTAGGTTTTCTCTAAAGGACAGTAGGGAGCCATGGAGGGGTTTCTGAGCAAGGGAGGGGACAAGGTCAGCTTTGGGCTTTAGAAAAACCTCTCTGAGGAGGGTGGGTTGGAGGGAGCAGGACTGGAGGCTGGGAGACCAGGAAAGGGGCCGGGGCAGTGATGTAGTAGCAAATGGGAATGTTTATATCAATATCATCAAACAGAAGAACTGACCCTATACAAAAGTGCCATTTCAAGCTAGGGTCTCAAGGATAGGTAGGAGTTAAACAGGTGAGGGAAAGCATTACAGACACAATGCCCTGTGGTGGCAGAGACACAAGGAAGGACCCTGGAGCTGCCCAAGGATGAAGCTGAGTGGCTGATGGAGGCTAGACCATACGGGCCTTTTAGATCACGGAATCGAGTATGGTCTCTCTAAACGCAAGTGAAGCATCAAACAGGAGAGGGAAGTGGTCAGAGTTCATTTAATGAATACTGATGGCACTCCTGCAGGGTGCCAAGTGAAACCTCAAGAATGGCTGAGCTCCTCTGGGATCACTGCAAATACAGCCATAAGCAAGGTAAACTACATTCCAGAGTTGGCCAGTGTGCTATATGAACTGCTCTGAGTGTTACACAGACCTTCCTCCTAACACCAGCTCTGTGCTCTGAGGCCGCACCAAACTGTTGTTTGCTCTAACAAACAGAATGTGGCAGGTTTTTGCCAATGATTAAACGAACGACTGAATATACTCCTGAGGAAACAGGGCTCTTATCTTGGCATATTTCCAAAGCCAGATTTTACCAGGATAACCAGGGCCCCACCCTCCGGGGGAGCTCCCACCCCAGATTAAAAGCCAGTTACTCACGATCTTTTCATAGTACTCCCGTCGCCGCTCTGCCCTCTTCTTGTAGTCGACCATCATGCCTCGAAGCTTCCGCTCATGCTTCCGAGCCTCGTGCCACATCGTGGAGAGGCCAAGTCTGAGGCCTCAACCTGGGGAATGTAGACAGAGGAATGTCAGATGAGCAGTAAAAAGCATATGGGCAGAATCAAACTAACAAGTTGGTTACACAGCTGATCCTAAACGCCAGCTTCAGGGAGAGCAAATGAGGCTGCAGAACCATGCACCGGATGCTCAGGTGTATCCCTGACAACTCTGAGCCAGTAGCTTGGGCATTCTGAAAATCCCCCAGGCGATTCTGGGGTGAGCATCCATCCCTGGGAAAGGAATTCAAGGACCTGGAATCAAGGATGGAAGGTTTTGGAATGGAAGGAGCATCTGAAGTAAGGTCTGGACGCAGAACCTGGGGCTTGGAGCTCAAGGGACGGGGAAGAGCTGAAATGGCTCCTACAGGGGGCCTTCGGTGGGGATGGGGATGGGTTGTAGGGGGATGCAGATGAAGGCAGGGGTAGGAAAAGAAAAACTCAGGACTTGATGGGTAGAGAGTGGCAGCATGGAGATGGGAGTTCGAGGACAGATGAAGGGCGTGGATGGAAGGCGGCGACACTTGAGAGAGGGGGAACATGGGGGAGGGCAGGAGGAAAACCTAGACAGGGGCTGAAGTCTAAAGAAGGAATCTGAATGGTGGGGGGGATGCGTATAAAGGGGAGCAGAGGCTGCAGGAGGCGGAGCTGGCAGACTGGAGAGGGTGGGCTGAGTTTAGGGTCAAGGCTCGCGGACAGAGACGGAGCCCGGTAGCGTGGGAATGATTCCAGGACCGGGTCTCTGCCTGAAAGTTCCGGCTGCTTTTTTGACAGGGGGGCGGGATCTGTGGCCAGTGGCCGGGCCGAACGCGGCGAATTCCGGACCACAGCGGGGGCAGGGGCGCGGCCTGAGGCCCCGCAGGCCGTAGGATGTGCGGGGTGGGCGTCCCTCAGGCCCGGGGCCGAGCAGAGGTTCACAGCAGCCCGGGGAGGCGCCGAGGCAAGGGCGAAGCTGGGCTGATGCCACCCAAAGGCCAGGAAGTCGGGGCCCGCCGCCTGCACTCACCGGCCCGTCGCCGACTGCCGCCGCTGCGCTCGCGCGCGTCCCGCACCGGAAGCGGAAGTGGGAGGCCTCGCGAAGGGGGAGGGGTGGAGCGTGGCAGAGCACACTTCCGCTAACGTGAGGGAAAGGCGGGGCCTGGAGGGGAGGGCGGAGAAAGGCGGGGCGGAGCAAATCCTGGAGGCTTTGTGCTAAGGGTCTGGGGCGTTTCCCAAGTTGAGAAGAGAAGAGACCCCCAAGGCTCAAAAACTCAAGTTTATTGGGAAGACTCTGAACAAACAACCAACCCCCACCTTCATGGGGATAGAGGGTTGGGGAATCTTCACCCTCTTCCCATATGTACACTCTTCAGAATCCTCCGGGAGAAGGTGTCCCCAGTTGTGGGGGGCTGCGGCAGCTTTAACAAGCCAGTGCAAGGGAGCCAAATCCCTTTTCCTCTCCGGACTCAGTTTTCTCATTTGTGAAACAGGCTCAGAGGAAAGCGGTGCCGCGGAGCTTCTTGACAGCGCCGAAAACGTCCGATTCAGGATAAGAAGGTCGGGAGACCTGACCAAGGATGGCTCAAGGGGATGGGGGTGCTGGACATCCTGGTTGGGTTCGCACGGCCCTTTTCACCTCCCTCCCCACCCAGAGCCTCTCCTCACCGCGGAGGCTACGTGGCCTCAGGCCCTGGGGACAGGAGGCCGCCCCCAAAGCCCGCCTCGCGGTATTGGTTGGGGAACATGTTGCTGCCCACAAGGCTGGCAGTGCCCCCGTCCCCGGGGACGGGAGCCTGATATGAGTCCAGTGTAAGCGGCTCGGGGCCAGGAGGCTCCCCGACCGTGGCTCCTACAACCCCGTTGCCCGGGACAGCGCTGGCGAGTGGCAGCGCCGGGGGCAGCATGTCCAGCATGGTGAAGAGCGTGGGGGCCGTTTCGTAGGGAAAGCCATCGTCTAGAATGTCCGGGCCGCCAGGGGGCTCCAGGCCAGGCAGGGACACGGTGCCGGGGAAGAAGTCTGTGTCCGGCAGCAGGGCTGATGGTGGGAGGAACGGGCCTGCATATATGAGAAGAGAGAGAAGGAAGTGTGGTGGGCTTTAGGGTCAACTTCTATCCAGGTTCTAACTCGAATGGCCAGTCCCATGCTAAATGCATAATCAGCGTGGCCTTTAATCCCAAGGAGAACCTGGGTTGAAACCATATCCCTGCAGTGCTGGGGAGTTTTCCCCAACAATGAGGGAGAAGAGGCTCAGAAGTCCCCCCCGCCCCCCAAAATATAGCGACAACCCAAAAAGTGAAATCTCCACCCTATGGGAGACCCATGAGAAGTCTTCAGTCCCAAAATTGGAAGGTAAAATGTGATTATAGGAGAGTCTCTCTTTTTGAGACAAGACACCTCACCAGCAAAGGCTGATTATGCTTATCTCAGAAAGAGATACAGGGCTGCAGGGACTCTATTCCCCAGCCTCCCTTGCAGATTGATGTGGTCATGTGACTAAGTTCTACTGGCTGGAATGTGGGCATGATGGCTGGAACTGCAGCAGCCACATTGGACCATGAGATAGAAACTGCAAGTTGAAAAAGGCAGTCACTTGGGACTCTGATGATCATGCAGCCACCAAACCATTCCTGGGCCACCTACCTCTAGACTGTGTTTATGTGAGAGGAGAAATAAAGTTCTGTCCTGTTGAAGCCCCTGTTATTTTGGGTTTTGCTGCGAATACAGTTAAACATGATCATAACAAATGCGGGTGGCATTCCTGATTTCTGGCAAGTTCCTAACATATGGGCACTAACTCTGTGCCAGCCACTGTGTCACATCACCTCAGTAAATTCTAGAAAGGACCCTGAGAGGTAGGATTTCCATCTAACAGATGAGTAAACTGAGGCCCAAAGATACCGCACAGTGACTAAATTGTGGCCTCAGAATTCAAACCGAGTCTGATTCCAGAGGGCATGCTCCTAACCATTACACTGTAGTGCCAGGGCAGTTTTGCCCCAAGGATGAGAGAGTGGGCCTTACACATTGGTAAATTGGAGTGACAAGGGGAAGTAGATGAACAGCAGTTGGCTGATGAGAAAGGGCTTTGGAGATTTGGGATTGAAGGCTGATAAAGTTGGCTAGGATTGGTGGTTGCTAGGGGCCGAGCTGCTGGGCATTCATTAGTTACCAGTTGCAGTGGAGTCGGGGGCAACAAGTGGTACTTGCAACCTCCAGGGTGGAACTAGCTAGAGTGGTCCAGGCTGGGCAGACTGAGTGGTAGGTGGCTGGCTGGGAGCTGGGCGCCCTGGGGCAGTGGGAGTGTTGAGGACAACATTCCCAGAGCTAGTGGGAACCCTCTGAAGGCAATCAGGTAGGGTTGGAGTACATGGGAACAGGAGGCTGGCATGTGATTTGAGATGAAGGTAGGGGTAGGAGAGGCCAGAGGGTAGTTGGGCTAAAGACAGGATCTGAATTCAAGGTTGGCTGGCTCTGACAACCACCCCCATTTATCCATGTACACTCCCTTCTACCTGTTTCACACCCCTCATCATAAATCTATACAGACTCCCAGAAGCAACTCCCTGCTCCGCCTGGAAGTAACTGTGTCCTTAAACAAGAGACACACCTCTCTGGGCCTCAGTTTCCTCACCAGTAAAACGGGGGCTGGTGGGATGACAGCACCTACCTTGCAGGGTGATTGTGCAGATCAAACGAGAAAATACACACAAAGCACTTATGTGCCTCTCATATAGTGTTTGTATAATAAATGCATTAAATTTTAAAAGGCTAATGAGGTAGGTATGTGGTGAGACTTTTCAGTGGCACCTCTGAGGTTCAGAGAGGTGGAGTAACTTGGAGAAGGTCACACAGCAAGTAAATGGCCCAGCAGAGATCAGAGCCTCCTGACTGTCCAGAACCACTATTCTTCCCACTTTGTGTTGTTGGCTTAGTGGTGTGTCACTGGCCTTGTGGGGGCTCTTGTGGAGCCTGAAGAGGCCTGAAAGGAAGGGCTGTAGTTCACCCTCGGCTCACCCCAGGGGGCAGGGGCTGGCACACAGCTGGGACCCACCTGAGCTGTGGTTGGGCAGGAAGTGGTCCAGGAAGGCCGGCTTTTTCCTCCGCCGCTTGCTCTCGATGCCATGGGGGTCTGAGGGAAGGCAGAGATGAGGACCCCTGGAATCCCAACAGTCCCTCCCCCCCAGCCTGGTGCAGGGCAGGGCAGTGGGGTCAGTCATCCCCTCCCCAGGGAAGGGGCAGAAGGGACACACCAGAACTGTTCAGCTCCCCAAGGACATCGGGCATCCCTCGTTTCCGCTTCTTGTCCACACCGTAGCTATCTGTTCAGGAGATATCAGGGACATAGAAAGTAATCCATCAATAAAAACAATTGAGAATTAATTTTGGAGACCATTTAGAAAGTTGTTGAGCTGTTCCAGTTCTTGGCCAATTAATGCAAATAGATGTTCACATCTTAATCAGAATGAAACCCAAATCCATTTCTAGCCATACTTTGTTGTTCCTGGAATACCCCAGGCACCATCCTGTCTCAGGGCCTTTGCACCTGTTGTTCTAACTGCTTAACACATTCTTCCTCAACTCCCACCTCTTCCGTGGAGAACCAGTCATCCTCTCATCCTCAGCTCAGCCATCTCCTCCTCCAGGAAGCCCTCCCTCACCCCTAAGGCTGGGTTGGATGTCCCCTCTGTGCAATCTGAATCCCCTGAGCAATTCCATCCCAGTCCCACCTACTCTTGTAACTGTATGAGAATGGGTCTGTCGCCCTATAGGACTGTGAGAATCATGAGGGCAGTGCTGGGACTATTTGGTCACCCCTGTGTTCCAGCACTACCCAGCACAGGACCATGTATGAGCAGGTATGGTGAGAGGAGGAATGATTAAATCCTCCCAAAATACCTTGAGGTGGGTACTATTGTTATTTCCATTTTGCACAGGAGAAGACTGAGGTTCCGAGAGGCCAAGGTCAGTAAGTAGCAGAGTCGGGATTCGAACCCCAGTCTGTGCAGCTCTGAGCCTGCATTCTACTTCTGCCTCTTTCCCTTTCCCTTCTGGGTCGCCGCAAGCAAGGCCCAAGACCTGGTCTTTGGGGTAGTGGGTCACCCTGGCTTGCTGTGGTTACCATGGTCCCGAGGCAGGTATGTGAAGGGCAGCGGCTCGCTGCAGACCCCATCGGTGAGCCGCTGCAGGAAGACGTTGACTGTCACAGGCTCAACAATCTCCAGGTCCTCGTAGGGCGGTGTCTTGAACACGATGGCAATCTGGCGGTGCACGTCGGCCTGGGAGAAGTCAGCCCGGCCTTCCCAGGAGGCCCTGCTGAACACCACCGATATATCCTCTGCAGGAAAATGGGGATATCAGCCGAGCCAGAACACTGGCCCACCAGGTCCCCAACTCACTCAGCCTCCTCCAAAATCAATATTAATATCCCTAAGAATAAAACTAATTATAGTGACATCTAATCTTCTGTGGAACACCTACTATGTACCAGTCATTAAGTGTTTTATACATTTTTATATATTATCTCATTATATATTAACCCAAAAGGCAGGTAGAATTAATATTCCCACCTTGTCAGGGGCCCCCAAGACCACTGTCAGATTCAGTGATTCATGAAAAGGACTCACAGGACTCACATACAGTCACACTCACAGCTATCATTTATTACAGCAAAAAGATACGAGGCACACTCAGGAAAGGGGAAAGGTGCCTGGAGTGAAGTCCAAAGGAAAACCAGGCTCAAGCTTCCAAGAGTCCTCTCCCAGTGGAGTCACATAGGAAACACCAATTCCCCCAGAAACAAACTGTGACAACACACACGACATGCTGTCTATCAAGGAAGCTCCTGAGAGACTCAGGGTTTTTTATTGGGGGCCGGTCACCTAAGCACCCTCTCCCTGGCACATATGAAAATTCCAGACACCCAGAAGCTAAGCAGGGGTTCCACACAAACCGTATTGCTCCTACAAACAGTGTAGGCACAGTGAGCCACTCTTACCAGTCAGAGCAGGGGTCAGCAAACTTTTAAGATGGAAGAGCCAATCCTGTCCCTCACAACAATTTAAAAATTATTCGAGAGCCATAAAAATGAAATCACCATTATGTGAATAATATCCTTTAAAAATTTTATAAATGAAACTATGATAGTTTTATTTTCATTTTCAATTTTACTTCAGAGCCATATGTATGTACCCAAACAGCCACATGTGGCTCACGAGCCGCAGTTTGCCGACCCCTGAGTCAGGGAATGGTGGGGACCCTCTCAAAATACAAATTCCCAGAAGCCAGCCAAGGGCCAACCTTGTAAATAGGCCTTTCAAAGGATAACAGTCTCATTCTGCTATGTTAACTCTTTTTTACACACCCACTTTAAAGATGGGAAAACTGAGGCTTGGAGCGGTTAAGGGACTTACTCAAGGTCATACAGCTGGTAGGAAATAGTCAGGATTCAGTATACTACTCTGCCTGCTACTTCTTTTTCTTGTTTTATTGCATTGCCTCTCTCATCACACTAACACCACATACTGAGGCTTTATATGTGTCAGACACACACAGATTGTCTCTAAGTCACACCACAATCTTACGACGTAGGTACCTTTAGGAGCCTCATTATATAAGGAGAAAACAAAGGCACAGAGAGGTAAAGTCACTTGTCTAAGGTCACATAGCCAGCAAGTGGTAGAGCCAAGATGGGAATCCATGCAGCCTACAGCTCTTCACCACCAGCTGTGCTAAGGCTTGGGGAAGTTAGGTGATATCTTTAGGCCTAATTTCCTTACCCTAACAGAGAAAAAAAAACATAGTACCTATTTCACAGGATTTAGGAGGATTAACCAAGTCACTCCATGTAAAGGGCTTAGACGAGGGCTTAGAATATAATAGATGCTCAGTCCATGTTAAGTACGAGTGTTCCTGTTAGCATTATGCATAGTACTTGCTCCAGGCCTGGCACTCGGAAAGTCTTCAATAAGTGCCAATTCTTTGTAGTATACTTCTTGGGTAATTGGGATCCTGGGTCATCCTACGAGTGACTCATTTTAGGGATGAGGAAATGGTGGCTCAGGTGGGGAAGTAACCTGCCTGAGATCAATCAGTGAATGAAGGATGCTTCTAGTCATTCATCCACACCGGGAATGGTTTCTCTGCCCCCAAGTCCCAGACCCCTAACAACCTCCTTGGCCTTCCTCAGATCTCAGCTCAAATGTCACCACCTCTAGGAAGCCTTCCCAGATGCCTAGACCATGTCGGGTCTTCCTGTTGTTCAATTTCTGCACTCTTGTCTTCTTCCCTCTCAGCATTACCCACATTGATAACTTGTATCTTTCTCTATCTCCCACTGAACTGAGAGCCCTGTGAAGGTAGGGCCGGGACCTGTCTGTCACTGCTGTGTCCCAGCACTGCCCAGCACAGAGGAGCCACCCAATAATCATCTGCTCATTCATTCAAAATTTTATAAGAACCTCCCACTCCTGGGTATATATCCAAAGAATTAAAGGCAGTCGTTCAAACAAAAACTTGTACACAAATGTACATAGCAGCATTATTCACAATAGCCTAACTGTGGCAACCACCAAAATGCTCATCAACAGATGAATGAATAAACAGAATGTAGTATCTATACAATGGAATGTTATGCAACCATAAAAAGGAATGAAGCACTGGCACGCTGCAACAAGAAAGAACCTTGAAAACATCATGCTGATTGGAAGAAGTCAGACACACAAGGCCACATATTGTAGGATTCCATTCATATGAAATGTAGAGAAGAGACAAATCCATAGAGATAGAAAGCAGATTAGTGGTTGCTAGGGACTGGAGAGTGAGGGAATAGGGAGTGACTACACAATGGGTACAGGGTTTCTTTCTGAGGTGATGAAATTGTTCTGGAACTATTGGGTTGTCGGAAAAATCATGATGCATTTTTGCAATGAAAAACATAGAAAAAACACATCATGACTTTTCCGACAACCCAATAGATAGTGGTGGTGGCACAACATTGTGAATATACTGAATGCCACTGAATTGTACACTTTAAAATGCTTAACATGTTTTTGTTTTTTTTTAAAAGAGTGAAACTTGTAGCCAAAAAATAAATAAAAAAATGTTATTCCCCTGAGAACCTCATGTGTGCTTGGCCCTGGACTGTGGTAGTTCTGGGGACCCAGCTGCTCATCAAGACAATGCCAGGTCCTGCCCTCATGACCCAGTGGGGGAGACAGACCTTAACTATATAATCACACAACCTGAGAAAGGATGGGGGGGACCCCTGGCGGCTGTGGTATGTTCTCCCACTTTCCTCCCCTCTCACTGCCCTCTTACCCCATTAGCTTCACTGTTCCTCCAAAAACCAGGCCTGCTTCTGCCTCAGGGCCTTTGCATTTGCTGTTCCCTTTGCTGGAACTCTTCCCCAGACGGCCACACAGATCCTTCATGGCTCCAATGCCATTCCTGAGAGGGGTCCTTCATGGCCCCCCTAAGTAAAATTGTGCCCCACAACCCCTCCAGCCATTCTTCTCTATCTCCTTTCTCAGTATAATGTTTCTCCAAATATTACTTTTTCACCATCTTCCTGAATTTTTTTCAACACTCCATTATTTTTCCTCCCAGAAGAAATGATAAACAACAAAGACTACCTGGATTCAAATCCTGTCTGTTCCTGCCTAGCTGTATGACCTTGAGCAAGTTACTTAACCTTTCTGTGCCTCAGTTTCCTCATCTGTAAAATGTGTATTATAATAATAGGCTCTACCTCATAGAACTATTAGGGTGATTAGATGATCTAATGACTGATGCATGCAATGTGCCTACAACAGAGCTTGACATATAGTTAGAGCAAGACAAATTAGTTCTTTATTACTATTGGTGGTGATGTTATTTATAATAGAGTAACATGATAGAAAATGCCAAGGATGCAGAAAAGATATATACAGTAAAAGGGAAGGCTCTCTCCTGCCTTTTCTATAGTCAGGCAATCCTGAGTAGAAGCTTTTTTTTTTTAAACCCTATTTGAAGAAGGAACATTTGAGCAGACATGAGTGACACGGAGATGTTTCTCCTATCTTCTGCCTTCTTCCTCTGCAGACCTTATCATAACCATCATAAAGCATTTATTCGTGCATCTCCACCATTTTAGTATCAGAGTCTCCCCAGATAGTGAGTGCGTGGTGGTAAGGCCTGCCTGGTATTGAGTGTGGGCAGCACGAATGGCCCTCCATCTTTGTACGTTAAAGAGCCAGTGAGTGACGCAGTGAGCGAATGAACCAATCGGCTGTGACTGACTCCAAAACCAGAGTTTTAGATCCGTCCACTCCACTGCAACTGTTAGCCAGCTCCTCCTCACCCTGTCCGCCTCCTGGGCTCCCTGGCTACCCCTGCAAGCTGCCAGACCCCCCTTTGCCGGCTTGCTGCCCCTGATCCCTCACCTTTCTGCACCTTATCACACAGCAAGTAGAGTTCCTCGCCACCTGTACATGGCCCGCTCTCCTTGTTAATTCTGCAAATCCGCAGTTCGGACGTGTTTGTGGACTCTGGGAACGAGCAAGAGGAAGAAGAATATTAAGAAAAAACGAGAATTCAGTCATCAAACCCTTACCAGGTACCCTGTGGGTACCCACCTGGGCTGTGGAGGTGGGAAATGGAGAAGCCAGGGGGCCTGACCCTCTTGGAACCCGTGGTCTGGGTGGTAAAAGAAGATGCTCAGACAAGAGGGGTTAATGGGCAATCACAAGTCCTCATGCTGAGACTGGTGAGTGTTGGGTCAAAAAGGAGACCTTCTAACCTCACGGAGAGTTGGAGAGGTCAGGGGTCAGAAACAATTCTTAGACGAAGGTTAATGGCCTGAAATCTGTTGTGGACACCTATCATTTTGCCCATCTAGCAGTTCTGCCCTTCTTCTGTTAACAGCCCCCCAATTTTCTTCCGAGGAACTACCCTCCCATCTGAGTCACGGGTTTGATTGGGTGGGGCTGAGACAACTCCCTAGCTCAGCATTGATCATGTGCCCCAGACCCAGCCAATAAAACTATCACCTCCTTCTGGCCACAGCTGATTGGTCAGAGAAGAGCATATGAGCAAAACCAGGCCAATGAGAGACAGCCCTGAGACTTTGAGCAAAAACATTAGGTAAGAGAAGCTCTCTTGGGCTGGCCAAGTGGCGCGTTGGTTAAGAGCTGGCTTGGGACGCCAGAGGGCCCCGGTTCGGATCCCACATATGAGGGCCAGTGACACTGCCCTCTATAGCTAAGATGCTGAACAACAGCAAAACTTGGAGCTGGGCTGCCATGAGTCGCCAGCGATGGCATAGGCTGCAGACCCTGCTGCAGTGGGTTGCCATAGGCTGCCGTGAGCGGCCAGCAGCTGCAGTGAGCGGCCGTCCAGAAGCCGGCGACTGATCTGCCTCGCCTGAGAAGAGCGCAATGATGGTGCCAACTTGTCTGTTCTCCTTCCCCCAATTCCCCAGCACTGTTCCCATCCCCCAATTCCCCAATAAAAATCTTAAAAAAAAAAAAAGAGAGAAGCTCTCTTTGGGAGTGGGGGAGTGGTGCCAAGCTGGTCACACACAGTCATTTTGCCCCTGCCTGAGAGGGCACTGCCAAGAATGACTCTAACATGGAGGATGCATAGCTGAGGGACAGAGACAGATCCCTAATGACATCTCAGAGGACCTGGCTGCAGCCAGACCTGAAGCACTGTGCTACCTCTGGATTTTTTTAGTTACTGGAACAAACAATTTTTTTTTCCTTCAGCCCATTTGAGTTGGAATTCTATCACTTGCATCCATAAAAGCCTTGACTGAAATACTATCCTTCTCCATTTTGATGCTGTGGTACTCTCTGTAGGCTTACTAAAACCTACCAGCCATTCCCAATCCCCTCTTTCATGCCTGTACCCCTTTATAAAGGATGAGAAACCTAAATACTTGCTTTCCCAGACTCCGTTGCAACTAGGGGATGAGACATAAGCAGAAGTCTACCAGGGGCATTCTGGGGAATATATTATTTTCTCTATCAAAGAGAGAAATATTATTACTCGTGCTGCCTCTTCCCTAGGACTGCCTAGTACAGTTGTACAGGTTATACCTTCCACAATAGTAGGAGGCCTGTTGCCATTGGCTACATAGTAAGTGCTGACCCCTGGAATTGGGCAGTGTACCGCCTGCACACCATACACTGTGACAGCGCCCATCATGCCTTGAATACAGACATGATGTATGGAGCTGTGGCAGCCAGCTCATGACCATGACAGAAAAGCAAAGAGAATCACAGTGCTCCTGAACCAGTGCCCCGATACTGCTGAGCAGCTGACTCCACGGGAACAGACTTCACAACTGAGACACACAAAAATAAAGGACTCCCTGTTGGTTCGTGCCTTTGTATGTGGGCCTTTCTGGTCCCTGTGGCCAAGGACAATCCTATGCACACAAAAGCCTGACTCACTCTTGTCATAGACGGGCTCAGAGAGCACGGGGTCCATCTGGCGCATCTGTCCCTGCTGGTCCCTGTAAGAGGCCTGAAAGCAGATCCTCACAACGTTCATATCCACCTCCTGATGGTTCTTCAGGGACCCAGCTGTGGGAGACATGAGGGAAGGCTGAGTGAGGTGGGGGTGGAGAGCCTGGTGAGGGGGACAGCGGACAGAGAAGGGATGGGCTGGAGGAGATGGTGGGGCCCAGAGAAGGCGAAGGGATGGGGTAGGCAGAAGGGAGGGGGTGTTGGGGGGCAAGATGATAAGGCCAGGCATGGGGACTCACCATTGTAGGGGTCAATGCCGAGCTGGATTTTCCGCTCAATGGCGGCCTCAATCTCCTTCTTCCTCACACACTGGATGCCCAGGTTGTTAAAACTGCATGGGAGGAGAGAAGGGGAAAAGGAAAGTACTCACAAGGAGGCAGGTGTAAACCTAACGCACAGGAGGGCTCCAGCAGATGCTGCCTCAGGGCTCACAGACTCGGGACTGAGGCACCCCAGGCCCAGGGGTCCCAGCTGTGGGGGGGAAGGGGTCTGGGGTTTGAAGCCCTCAGGGGTGTCAAGGATGCTTGAGAGAACCTAGGAACACCCCTTATCTTTTCCACATGACAGCACTGACCAACCTCATTTATAAAAGAACTACCAATTAAACACCAATGCAATGCCAGTTTGTTTTTTTTTAACTCATCCAAACAGCAAAGATTAAAACATTTGCCAATACCCCCTGCTGGTGTGGTTGTGGAGAATCAGGCACTCTCACTAATGCTGGTAAGGCTGTAAAGTGCCCCAGCAATTACACATTGGAGGGCGATCTGGCAGTATTCATTCCACAAATATTTTCTGAGCACTATTGTGTGCCAGGCATGTGCTAGGCGCTGGGGGATATAGCAGGGAACAAAAGAGACTAAATGCATAAATCACTAAAAGTATACCTGTACACCCTTGGAGCCAGCAATTTCATTTCTAGGAATTTACCCTAGAGAGGAAATGATCTACACAGAAAGCCATTCACTGCAGCACAGTTAGTCATAGAGCCTCAGGCGACTGGAACCATCGTAGGTGCCCATGAATAGGGGACTGACTGTTCAAGGAAGTCACTGTGTACAACCCCACATTGGAATAAGACGCAGCCAACAAAAAGGATGTTCTGAAAGGAACGATCCTCGAGATGTACTTAAGGAACACAAAAATGAGGTGCAAGTGTCTGCTACCATTTACAAAGGGAGAAAAAAATAATTATGCATAAAAAATATATCTATGCATAGCATATTTTTAATTGCCTCCAGGAAGGGGCACTGGTAGCTGGAAGGCCAAAGAAGGAAGGAAATTTATTTTTCACTGCCCACCCTTTCTGAACCTTTTAATATTCTATGTATTAAAAACATAAATTACAAAGCGAGAGAAAGAATGGGCCTTGCAGTTAAGCCAGGTCTGGAGTCAAATCCCAGCTCTGCCATTGGCTACCTGCACTCCTTTACCTCTCAGAGCCTCAGTTTCCTCCTATATAAAATGAGGATAAGTCTAATGTGTGAATGTGTGTGGGGCAGGGCTCCAGGCCTGGGGAAGACCCCCACTGCCCCCAGGCCTCGGCTTCCCCAATAGGGAGAGTCTGGCTAAGCTGTCCCTTGCCCTAAGGTTCCCCTGGGTGATTGTCAGTCCTCAGAATCCCCATGACCAAGGGTGAGGGATCAGGGTTCAGGGGTCGGGTACCTGTGCCGGGGGCTGATGTGAGGCCGGAGCCGCACCCTGCAGACGCCGTCGGTGCAGTCTTTCCCCACGAGGCTGTGGGGGTGGACTCGGTGCGGCCAGTCCTTCCACACCAGGCACGCAGTCACCTCCACCTCCCGCAGCCCTCCACAGTCCCGGAGCTGCAGGAAGACAGGAGCTCTTTTGGGGGTCCCATCGCAGATAACTGCACCCATCCAAACTCCCTGGGGTCTCCCTGGGTAGCTCCCCACCCCTCTCCCCCAGAATGATGGAAGAGTGCTTGCTTAAGACCCCTCTGAGATCCTAAACCTGAGGCTTCCAACTTGTGGCCTGGGGGGGCCTTATTAACATGATGGCTGTCCCATTGAGGTGCTTCCTTTGGGCACTCAGACTTTTAAAAATTGGATGCACACAGTGTCTCCAAGTATGGCCTACAGATAACGTACTAGTGACAAGGGGAAACAGGCACCTTTACAGTGGAGAGACCTGGTGGACACCACTAACCAGGTGATCAATGTCAGCATCACCAATACTGGGCCAAAATGACTCGGGCACCCCCCTGATGGCTGAGAAGGACTCAGCATCACTGCTGTGATAGCACCTCCAGAAATGCATCATCTGAATTTAATAGTGAGGAAACACCAGACAAACCCAAATTGTGGGTCAAAAATATCAGTGTCATGACAAACGATAAAAGGTGGGCATCATATTTGGGTTAAGGGAAAACAATGTATTTTTATCTGGTTGGTAGTTCCACAGTTTATATGTATGTAAAAATTCACAGAGCTGTAAGATTTGATCTTAATATATACATTAATATACTATATATATTAATGTATATATTAAGATAAAGCACAATTTAATATATAAAGTTAATTATTTAATAAAATATTAATAAATATTCATTAACATCAATTAAATATTAAAATTTAATAAAATATTATATATTAACTTTATATTTGAAGCTAATTTAATTATTAAAATATAAATTTAATTGAATTACAATTAAGTTAAATTTAAAATTTTAAAATTAAAACTTTAAATTCATCAATTATAATTTTTAATATAAATTTTATTTTAAGATAAAATATAACTTAAATATAATTCAATTTTTAAAAAAGGATAGACTAAAGAGACATGGCTACCAAATGTAACATATGATTTTGATCAGATCCTTGATTGAGGGGTAAGAAACAACCATAAAACACATTTTTGGAACGACTGGGAAGTCTAAGTATGGAGTCTACATTAGATGATATTATGGAATATTGTTAATTTTCCTAGGGGTACTAATGGTATTGTAGCCATGCAGGAGCTTACTCTTAGGAGCTGCACACTGATGTATTTAAAAGTGACAGGATATCTACAATTAATTTGCAAATGGTTCAACAACAAAAAAAAAATGTGCACTTGTGTGTGTGCACGTATGTGAGTGGAGAGAGAGCAATAGGTACGGTAAACGTAGCATAATGTCAACTGGTAAATATAGGTGAAGGGTACACAAGGTAGGTGCTCACTCTACTATTCTTTTAATTTTCTGTAGATTAAAATTTTTCATCCCAGGCTGGCTGAATGGCTCAGTTGGTTAAGAGTGCAAGCTCTGAGCGACAGGGTCGCCGGTTCGATTCCCACATGGGCCAGTGAGCTGCACCCTGCTGAGCTGCAGCTGAGCTGCCAACAGGTGGCAGGATGGCTCAGCTGGTGAGAGCACATGCTCCTAACAAGGTTGCCACTTCAACTCCCTCCACAGCTAAGATTGAAGGACAACAACTTGGTTGTTCCCCTTCCCCAATTCCCCAATAAAATCTTTTTAAAAATATATTTTTTTCATCCAAACTCATCAAAATGTATACATTAAATATGCGCAATTTTTGTCTATCAATTATACCTCAATGAAACTTTAAAAAACAAGAAAAAAGTAAAAAAATATGTTTTGATAAATGTTGGGAAAAATTTGGAGCCTACATTTAAAAGGTATGAGAGACATCATTTTTATTCCAGATTCTCTTTTTAAAAAAGGAAATTATAGCAACCGGGGCCGAATTCCTGTTCAGCAGCCACAGGCGGCAGCGGATAAAAATCAGCCCCTTTAGACGATGGGCCCAGACCCACGTGGCGACTTGGCTTTCTTGGGTTACCGTCTGGGTACTAACATCCTCTGAAGCCTGCTCTGAACACCTAGAGCCGTTGCCTAGGAAATGATGGACCAGTGCGGTTCACTGGCAGGTAATACTGCCCTCTAGCGGACGTTTGGGATACTGGGGACGATTTGGGCTGACACTTTGATGAGGACCCTCAGAAGGCAGTAGGCACGGCCAGAGATGCTACACCGCCTACAAACCAAGGACAGTCCCACACAAGTCCTGCAAGACTTCTGAACATCCCGCCAACACTCATGTCAGTGACAAACCTGTTAAAAACGATCAGAGTCCAGAACCTCGCACTGTTTTACATACATAGTCTCTTTTCCCATAATTTAAAATACACTGAATTTGCAAGGACTGCAGCCATCATGTTAATTGAGAGAAGACTGGATTTTGTCTAGACTGAGAATTGTGTGCCACTTCAGTAAATCCCATCACTAACAGCAACCCTGGGTGTGTGGCATTTAAATCACCAACTCCACCAGGCTGGGTCAGGCTGCATTCGTAGCCACTGCATTAAATGAGGTCAAAGCAACTGTCACCTTCATTGTGGTTCCCTGAGGTCGTGGCCTGAGCATTTACATACTGAAAAAAAAAATGTGCTCAGTATGCTGTATTATTTTCCTTTTATTTCTCCTTCATACTAAAGTTAGGGCATTATGGATTCTGGAGACAATTATGAGACGTCGGTATGATTATCTGTACATTTCATTGAGTCAGTTAGGATTAAAACCATTCCTTTAACCAGCTCCTTGTTGTAATATTAGGACATTCTGAAGAGCTCAGGGTCAACACTCTCAGAATTCATGAAGACACAGGCCTGAAAGCTTTTCATCTTTGAAATGTCACACAAGACCGTGGACAAGTCATTAGGCCTTGGAGTAAGCAAAACCTGGGACCAAATCCATGCACTACGACTGGCCGTCTGTGTGATAAGCCTCTCTGGACTTACTGCCCTTAACTATAAGATGGGTATCATTAAGTAACTGGCACACAGGAGCATTTAGTACATGGCAGTAATTACTAGAGTAAACTCACTGTGTGCCCCTGAGCAAGTAAGTTACCCTGAGACTCAGTTTACTCCTCTAAAAGATGGAGATGAAAAACCTGAATCCAGATTCAGAAACAGGTCATCCCCTATTGTTGGGCATTTACTGTTCTAACTCTCTGAAATCAAAACCAACACCGAGCCAAAATAACTGCCTGGGAAGACTTAGGAATAAAAGACTGAGGAAAACACAGCCTACACAAATCACTCCACAGATAACTTACTAATGACAAAGGGAAAGCTGTGCCTTTACAAAGGAGAGGCCTGGTGGTCACCTGTTATGGGCTGAATTGTGTCCCCCCAAATTTATATTTAAATCCCTAACCCCCATACCTCCGAATGTGACTGTATTTGGAGACAGACCCCCTAAAGAGGTGACTAAGTTAAAATGACACTGTTAGGGTGGGTCCTAAGCCAATCTGCCTAGTGTCCTTATAAAAAGAGGTAATTTGGACACACAGAGACACCAGACAAGTGTGACACAGAGGAAAGACCATGGGTGGACACAGTGAGAGGGCAGCCATCTGCAGGCCAGGGAGAGATGAATCAGAGGAAACCAACCTTGCCGACACCTCAGTCTTGGATTACCAGCCCCCAGAACTGTGAGACAATAAATTTCTGTTGTTCAAGCCACCCAGTCTGTGACATTTTGTTATGGCCGCCTGAGCCGACTAATACACTACCTTAACCACAGGATCTGACTCAGCCTCACTGATATCGGGACAAACTGCCACCCCATGTCCTTCGATGGGAGACATTGGTGTATTCCCGCCAAAATGAATAACCTGATCTAATCTGGAAACTGCCAACAAATCCAGAATGTGGTACGTTCCACAAGACATCTGTCCTGTTTTCCACAAATGACCATGTCCCGAAACACAAAGATAGACTGAGGAATTGACCTAGATCAAAGGGCACCAAAGCCACCTGCCTTAGTCCAATCATGCCAATATCATAAAATACCATGAACTGGGTGGCTGATAAACAATAAAATTTCTCACAGTTCTGGAGGCTGAAAGTCCAAGATCAAGGTGCCAGCATAGTTGGGTTCTGGTAAAGGCCCTCTTCTGGGGTGCAGTCTGCCAACTTCTCCCTGTGTCCTCACATGGTCCAAGGGGCAAGCAAGCTCTGTGGGGTCTCTTTATAAGAACACGAATCCCGGGCCGGCCGAGTGGCGTGTTGGTTAAGAGTTGGCTTGGGACGCCAGCTCTGAGCAGCAGGGCCCTGGTTCAGATCCCACATGCAGGCCAGTGACACTGCCCTCTACAGCTAAGATGGTGAACAACAGCTTGACCTGGAGCTGGGCTGCTGTGAGTCGCTGGCGTAGGCTACAGCCCCTTCTGCAGTGGGCTGTTGTGAGCTACCGTGAGTGGCTAGCAGTCAGCGTGAGTGACTGGCAGCCAGCGTAAGCAGCCATCCAATGGCCAGCAAGCAACTGCTTCACCCGGGAAGAGTGCAACAATAATACTAACATGGGCCAGTGAAGCGACGTCCTCCACAACTGGACTGAAGAACAAAAGGACAGCAACTTGTCTCTTCCCCTCCCCTAATTCCCCAAAACCTGATTTAATATTTATTTATTAAACAATAAATAAAATCTTTAAAAAATAAAAGAACACAAATTCCATTCATGGGGGCTCCACCCTCATGACCTAATCACCCCCCAAAGGCCCCACTTCCTAATACCATTACACTGGGGGTTGGAATTGCAACATATGAATTTGGGGGAGGGGGGGACACAAACATTCAGAGCATAGCAAGACCTGACAACTAAGTGAAACACGTGATCTTGGACTGGATATTTAACAAGCAAACAACAGTCATAAAGGATATTTGGGGGACAACTGGGATAATTAGAATATGGACTTAATATTAGAGAATATCCTTGTATGAACATTAAGTTTCTAGAGTATGATAATAGTGTTGTGATTCTATAGGTCCTACATGTAGGAATATGTATGTCCTTGTTCTCGAGAGATACATGCTAAAACATTTCGGGTGAAGTATCATCATATCTCTGACTCACTTTCAAATCTCCCTCTATAAATGTCTGTATAAAGAGAGAGAGACATAAAACAAATGTGGTAAAAGGAGGATGGGTGTTCATTGTGCTATTTTTGTCTATTTTATGTAGGTTTATAAATTTTCCAAACGAAAAAGTTGAGACATAAAGTTGAAAAAAAATCCTCTATCAAATGGGAAAAACAGGCAAAATGCTTAAAGATAGATAAGGTGCCATGATTGCCCATCAATACACCACACTTGCCCCATTCCTGAAAACCCAGTGACTGGGAATACACATTTCAAAGGACATCATCCTTTTTGTTTCTCTCTCTCTCTTTTTTTTTTAGCTGAGCCATCCTGCTAGCTGTTGGCAGCTCAGCAGCTGCTCAGCTCGGGCTGGACTCGAACCGCTGTTGCTCAGAGCTCAAACTCTTGAGCGAGCTCTTAACCAACTGAGCCACTCGGCCAGCCCTTAAGGACATCATCCTTTTAACCAGAATGCCTGGCTGACTACAGGCTGCTTTTGGCCACAATACCTGGAGCCAAATCAAACACAACAACTACAACAATCCAGCTGTGTAAAGGGAGCAACAGCCAGTGCTGCCATAGCATCCTGGGGGCTGGAGCTTCATCCCCATTTTACAGATGAGGAAACTGAGGCCAAGAGAAGCACTGGAGTTGCCCCAATTCACACAGCTGGCGAGTGGCAGAGCCAGGACTCAGACTCAAGTCTTTCTGACCCTAAAATCCTAACTTGTTGGAGAAGGACAGGGTTGCTCTGCTAATCACCCAAATAAACCCAGGGGTACAAATCCCATTAAGAGAGAGGGAGGTGGGAGGCCTCAAATGAGGGAGCTCGGGCCTGGTGCGGGGCTCAAGGAAGGCATCCCTGAAGTGGGCTGAGGCCTCATGCGGGAGGAGGAGGTGACCAGGGTGCAGGAGGAAAGCACTCCGGGTAGGAGGAACAGCATGGGCAAAGGTGAGGTAGCTGGAAGGTGGTGAGTGTGGAGGGCCTGGTTGGGAAAGGGCAGCAGGAGGTCTTGGGGGCCTAGGAAGGAGCTTGGGCTTCCTCCTGAAGGCACTGGGAACCAAGGGAGGGTTCTGAGCAGGGGAGAGGAGCAGGTGGGTAATTTAACAGGACCCCTCTGGCTGCCTTGTGGTGGGAAATTTGGAGGAGACTGGGAGCTAGTGACCAGGGAGGAGGCTGGAGGTCAGGGAAAAGCTGGGATCTGGGGCTAGTGGCATCGTTAGTACACAGGTCAGATTCAATAAACATTTGGGCAAAGATCCATAAGTGCGTGAAGGCTGCATATTGGGGAGGAGCCAGGAACCAGGCCTCTCAGACACCGCTGGGAGAAACAGTCATGGATACAACCCAGGGAGGGCAATTTGACAATATCCATCCAATTACCTTTGACCAGCAATTCCACTTCCAGAACTTATCTGAGTGACACACATGAAGGAAATAATAGATGAACTGAGTTCTCTACAGCCCCTGCTTGTAGTAGTGGGGAACAACCTAAATGCCCACCAATAGGAGACTGAACAATAAATTACCACACGTCCACACAACAGCATACCGGGGTAAAGAGAATAAGGCAGCTTCACACACGCTGATGTGCGCTGAGCTCCAAGATACATTCTTAAGTAAAAAAAATATGTCCCAATAAACCTATTGTGAGTGAAAATATCTTTAAGTTGAAAATACATTTAATACACCTAACTTTCAGAATATCACAGCTTAGCCTGGCCTACCTTAAATGTGCTCAGAACATTTACATTAGCCTACAGTTAGGCAAAATCATCTAACAGAAAGCCTGTTTAACTGTTGAATAGCTCGTGTAATTTATTACGTGTATAACTTTCGCATCATCGTAGTCAAAAACATCGTAAGTTGAACCATCTGGTAAGTCTGGGACCATCTGTATATATGTTATGCTCCTCTCTGTGTACAAAGAGGGGGATAGTATATATGTATGTATATACTGGCCTGTATAATCATAAAATACTCCTGGAAGGGGCCGGCCGAGTGGCTCAGTTGGTTAAGAGCTTGCTCTAGGGTTTGAGCTCTGAGCAACAGCGGTTTGAGTCCAGCTCGAGCTGAGCTGCCGCTGAGCTGCCAACAGGTGGCAGAATAGCTCAGCTAAAAAAAAATTAAAAAAAAAAAAATACTCCTGGAAGGATACTGCTAACAATGGTTACCTCTAGGGAGGAACCAACCTACAGATTCTGGGGAACTTTTGTTCATTTTAACTTAATTCAAATTCTGTTAATATGAATCTTTATATATTTGAACATTTTAACCACATCATATGATTCAAAAATTTAAAACAAAATAAAGATGTATATATAGTTTAAAAATCTTACCTGTCCCTTAGCCTTTAAACACTCCTCCCCAAAAGTAATTACTTCTATTAATTTTTGTCTTCCCTTCCAACGTTTCTTTATGCACATGCTCTCAAATACAAATATAAAATCTTATTTTCCCCTTTTAACACAATAGTAGAATACCCCAAGCAGGGCTCTGTGCCCCAATTTGGAGGGGAGTGATTATTAATATGTCTTGGAGATACTTCCACATCAGTACCCAAGGGGGTCTTCATTTAAAATTTTTTCTGTATTAACTATAGGTATTTATATTTAACTGCACACATACACAGATATATTTGTTATATCTGTATAGAATTCTGATGTGTGGATGTTTATTGATTAGTTTACCAGTCCCTTACCGATTAACATTCAAGTTTCCAAGTCTTTTCTATACGAACCAGGCCACAGTGGATAACCTTGTACATCCTTCTCTGAGCCCAGATGCAGGCATAGCTACGTGATAAATTCCTAGCAGTGGAATGGCCCGACCTAAGAGTAATGATGATGATGATGATGATAATACTAGTAGCTCATCTCTACTGAGCACTTAACAGTTGGAAGTCCTTAGCATGTGTAATTAATTCATTCACTCCTGCCAACGACCTCAGCTGGTAGGTTATTATTATTATTCCATTTTGTAGAGGAGGAAACTGAGGCACAGAGGGACTGAGTAACCGGTCCAAGGCTGCACAGCTAACAAACAGCCGAACAGGGATTCAAAAGCAGGCACTCTTATTCTTATGACCTCGCTTGTGAACCAGGAAGCTACACTGCCTTAACAGGCAATGATAATTTGGGTCAATACTGCCAAATTGCCGGGTAGAAGGCTTTTCTTTGAGTGCTCTTTTAAATTTGAGGCCAGGTGATTGTGTTACTGGCTCCAACAATAGCAACAGTAATAATAATAACCACCATCAAATACATTAATAAATACATGCATGTGAATCTTGGGCGTGGGGTAAGCGCGAGCCCCACGGGCCCCGGGCCCCACCTCGATGGCGGGCAGCGTCTTGCTGGCCTCAGTGCTTCTCTCCCCGAGGATGCTGCCGGCCGAGCGACCCTCGCACTCGTAGCGGAAGCGCATTCCACGCTGCTTGGGCTGCTCGGTGATGACCAGATGTGGCCTCGGCCCGGAGCCCTGGGCCGGAGGCCCGAGCCGGCCCACAGGGCAACCCCAGGGCGGCGGCGTGGCCGGGGGCGCCGAGGGACCCAGGGTGACGGTGCTCAGGGAGGCCGCCCCGCGAGACACCAGGCGCGGCAGCCCCTCGCCCAGGCCCGGCGGCGGCGGCCCCTCCAGGGCGAAGCCGTTCTCCTTGATGTACTCGTCGATGATCTCTGTACGAGAAGCAAAAAACCGGGGGGTAACGCTGATTATAAAAGAAAAGGCTTGGTGACCCCAGACCCGTGCCCTCCCTGCCTTTTCCAATCCATTCATTTCTTCTAGGTATTTCTTGCAGGCCGAATGCAGGAGCGTCAGCTCCCAACACAAAAAAGCCCCTGCCCGCTTCTCGCAAACAGCATGCCCTCGTTCTTGAGGCCAGAAACCAGGCGGGCCGGCCTGGTTTCCCTCCTGCACTCTGAATTCACTGGGCTCCGTAATAGCACCACCATCCACCAAGTGCTCAAGCTGGAAGAGGGTGCATCTGTACTAGTTGCTCATGAGCCTACGACTGCAAGTCCCATCTGTGACCTTCTGCCTCTATCTCAAATGTATACGTGTTTAAGTTCCCAACTCTTCTCGCCGCCCTCACTGTCTCCACCCTGGTCTGCACTCAGTGACTTCCATCTGAACCCCTGCTCCTGCCCCCCACCACGCGGGCCTCCTCCAGTCTGTGCCCTGCATGCAGCCAGAGGCATCTCATGTCAGACCCTGTCCCGCAACCGTCAGAAGCCTCCAGTGCCTTCCATCTCCCTTAGAGTCAAAAACACCTTCCCCATATAAAACTAACCCTCCCCAAACTCCATTCAGCTCAGAAATAAAACAAAAACAAAACCCCACGCGCCTGACTTTGGCCACAGAGCCTGTGTGCGCTGGCCCCTGCTGTCCTGGGCCCCCCAACACCCCTCTCTTACCCTGATCCAGTCTTTATTCTGTTGCTGGCACTCTTCAGGGTGGTGTATTTGCTCCCCCATCTGCCCATTCTGCACTTCTCCCTTTTCAACCCCTGCTGGCTGCTTCTCATCCTCCCATCTGAGCTCAAATAGCATCTCTTCAGAAAGGCCCCATCTGATGTGTTCCTCAAGCCATCTCTCCCTCTTCTTCTTTATTTCCTTCCCAGCCTTTAGCCCTTATTCCTTTTCCTACTGTCTCCCCCACTAGAATGTCAGCTCTAGGAGGGCAAGGACTTTGTTTGGTCTGTGGCTGAATGCTCAGTGCCTGGCAGGTGGCAGGTGCTCAATACAATTCACTGAAGGAATGAACATTAGTGCTAATAGTGACACTAAAGGCAGACGACATATGCGAAGTCTTTGCTAAGTGTCATGCGCTGCTAATATCCTGGGAACGTGACTTTGTTAAAACCCCCCAACAGTCCTGGAAGTCACAGTGTGACCCTTTCCCAACCCCCCAGCAAGGAAGATCAAGCTCCCTGTCTGTGAGCACTTGGACTCCCCAGCCTCCCCCGAGACCTGCCCTGTGATACTCACCCAATTCATCTGTGGAAGAAAGAGAAAGAGAAAGACAAAGAGAAAGAGAAAGAGAAAGAGAAAGGTGAGGTCCAGTAAGTGGCAAGACTTTTATTTTTTAATTCCCCACCCTGAGTACCCTCCCCTCTCCCACATCTTCCATCCTGGGAAACTGGGCGCTGACTCCCTGACGTGCCAAATCCTAGCCCCTATCTACCCCTCTGGGGCTACCCTCCCTTTAGCTCCCAATATTGGGATCCCAGGGTCAGGGTCCCCTCAAATGCCTACCAAAAAACATTTAGGTCAGGGATTATAAAGTGCTGGGAATTTGAGGAAAAGCTTATTACCAAAGGAAAAATGGACACCCAAGATTCTAAACAAAATGTAGGGGTGTTCCCTCCCTACAGCCCACCCTAGGTCCCTGAAGGTCACTGGCTGGTGTCTGAAGATCCCAGGAAGCCACCAGGCAGCTGCCCACTCTGTATCCTAGCTCAGTCCCCCATCGGTGGCCACCAACCATCCTGGATTCGCTCCTGCTTCCTGAGGGGGGAGTGATAGTAAGGCCGGGGAAGCCCTTATCACCTCCTCAGGAAAGCTCAGCCCTAAAGGGGTTATGGAGAAACCGAAACCAATTCCCCTCATTTCACAAACAGGACAAGGGGAAACCCAGAGGGAGCAAGGGAGCCTGGAGCCACACAGCAAGGGAAGGCAGGCCAGGGCCAGACGCCCCACATAGGATGATTGCCTGCACTGGCCTCGGACCCAGCACCGCTGCAGGACCTGTCCTCCTCCTCCACTCTCGGGGAGTGGCTTCTGACAGCCAGACCTTTGCTCCTTGGAAAACAGTATTCCTGCACCCCTATCTCATGCGATCTGTGAAGTCAGCAGGGTGGGGAAGACACCCTCACTTGGTAGATGGGGACACTGAGACTGAGAGAGAGGAAGGGAGCACATGCTGTAGATCACTGGCAGGGCCAACTTCAAGTCACTTCAACTTGGAAAACCCTTCTTAGGCATCTGTGCTGGATGACCTGGGGACCCAAAGACAGGTTAGACTTTGTCTGGGCCCTCAAGGAGCTCCTGGGCTGTAGGGGGAAACTGAGGCCTGGGCAGCAGTGGCCAGAGCTTTGGACTGCCTCAGTTCAAATTCTGGCTCCGCTACTAGCTGTGTGGCCTTGAGTCCATTATGTAACCTGTTTGGGCCTTGGTTTCTTCACCTATAAAATGGACAAAATAATAATGCCTGCCTCATCGGGCTGTTGTGAAAATTAAATGAGCTAATACTATATGGGAAGCACTTAGAATGTTGCAATAGTAGATGCTACACAAATCCTGGCTGCTCCTAAACAAGGTGTTGGGAGACATTATTTTATGGACTTCCCCTCTCTAGGCCTCAGCTGGTATGACTATAAAATGGGCATGTTGGAAGATGGGGTTTCAGAGCATGGAGTGTGGAGTCACACAGACGTTGGTTTGAATCTCAGCTGTTACTCACTGGCTGTGTGGCCTGGGGCATGCTGCTTAACCTCTCTGAGCCTCCTTCTCTATAAAATGAAGTCTGAGCTCCTATCTCAGGCATTAAGGTGAGGATTCAGGATCACACAGGAAAATTGCTTAGCACAGGGTTACTTTAGGACCTCCATAAAGCTTAGCTAATACCATTATCTAAAATCCTCTTTCAGCCAGGAAATATTGGGAACTCCCTCTCCTTATTCAGAGCTCAGCTCAAATAACACCTCACATGTACCCCCCTCCCCCCACCCCTAATCTCCCACACAAACTTGCTGACATCCAGGGTCAGCCAGGGTAGGCCCTGCTTGAGGAGATGTGAGAGCAGAAAGCCAGCTATGTCTTTCCTGCCTCAGGGCTTTTGCACAGGTTGGTTTTGCCAGAATGCTCTTCTTCCAGTTCTTTGCATGGCCTCCTCTTCTTTCAGTTCCCTGTCCAAATGTCACCTCCTAGATAGGTCTTTCCTGACCACTGCATCCCAGACAGCCCCCAGAATCCCCATTCCAGTCACTTACAGTTAGGTGTCTTTGTTTTATCATTTATATGGAATGATTGGGATTTTACATGACTTTATGTTAGAGTAATTCATATCTGTCTCTTGAAGACTGTGAGTACCACAGAGTGGGGAACATGTCTGCCCCATCCCCACTGTATACCCAGGGCCCAGTATGTATCTGGCCCATCAAAATGAGAGAAATTTTCCCTCCCACTCTATCCAAGCAGTTCTCCCATCCACACCCTGCTAGGAGATATCACTGACCCCAAGATTTCTTCATAGCCTTTATCACATTTTACAATTTAATTATTTAGTTTATTGTTTACATGTCTGCCTCCATGTCTAGGTAGGGAACCCCAAGAGGGCAGAGTCAAGGCTGTCTCAGTCACTGATGAATCTCCAGCACTACCCAGCACCGGGCCAGGTGCAGTACAGGTACTCAATAAATATTTACTGAAAGGGTGACGTCAGAAATTACTCTCAATTGAAACCAAAGATCTAGGTCTCAGGCCAGAAAAGCCTTGTTCCTGCCCAGAACCAGTGCTTAAGCAGCACCTGTCCCAAATACCATCTCCCACCTTTCAACACCCTCCCCACCCCGCAACTCACACAGGCCTGTTAGAAAACCCACAGAGCCTCCTCCACAGCCAAGCCAGCACTGCTAGGTTTCATCCAAAGAGTCTGCCCCCATAGAGAGACTCAGACCCAACCCTCTGGGGTTACTGAGTTTTCATGGTGACAGGACTCACCCCTGCCCTCCAAATCTCAGCAAATTCATAAGAGAGGATGTTGTCATTCGATCATGATTCTGCATGTCCTTGGGCAGCACTGAATTTTGAATGGCACAGGCTGAGGGACTTTATAGACTAGTGGTTTTCAGCATTTCTTGGGAATTCGTTAGAAATGCAAACTCTCAGAACCTATCGTAGACCTGTTGAATCAGAAACTCTGGAGGTGGGGCCCAACAATCTTTTAACAAGGTGACTCTGATGCACGCAAAGGTTTAGGAGCCACTGTTTAGGAACAGACTGCCTAATAATAATAGTTATTATTATTGCATTGTATTATTATTACACTGCTAACAGTTAATACTTATTGAGCCTTTACTGTGTGCCAGGCACTGTTTTGAAAATTTACCTGTATCAGTTCATTGAATCCTCTCAATCCCCTAAAAGGGAGGCAATGATATTATGCCCATCTTACACATGAGGAACACTGAGGCCCAGAGAGGGGAAGTGACTTGTAGGCATTTGCATAGTGGGGGGCAGGGGATAGGGGCACCAGCATATAAATCCCAGCCCCAAAGCCCAAGATGGAGATTATTTACTATGCACTACCATCGTGAATCTCTACAGGGCACTCCTCTTAAGACTGTGAATAGGTGCTTAGTTTTATCCAGCGCCTAATTACCTGGGAGGTAGGGGCATCTGGAACCCCCATCTCAACCAGCAGGGAGGGACACCGTCAAGGAAGCTGAGGCGGACCTCAGTGAAACCCCCAGACAGAGGCCTGTCCAATGGAGTCCCCCTTCCCCGTCCTGAGCGTGCAAGCGGGCAGGAACTGTGGAGGGCTGCTCACCTGTGGTCCTGGAAACGCCCAGCGATAGCGAAGACAGGTCCGTGGACCCTGCAGGGAAGGAAGCAAGTCTCAGGAGGTGATGGAGATCCCACAGAATCTCTAACCCTACCCGCTCCTCTCCTGGCCCCGCTCCTTTGGATCAAGCCCCTTATCACCCAAAGAGTCTGGCCTTGCCTCCTTCCCTAACTCGTGGGCTGGTCCCCTTGTTTTTGTCACTCACCCCACCTTTCACCACACTCAGGCCCCGCTACTTCTTTCCCTTAAGGTCGGGCCTGGAGAAGCCCTTCTCAACCTGTTAGGAAAGCCACCACCCCCTTCATTCTTTTGGGGTCAGATTCTACTCCTCCACTTTTTTAGTGTCAAGCCTGTCCCTTTCTCCCTCTCAGACCCTGCCACTACTCTTGGAGGCAAACCCCATCCCCTTTCTTCTCTGAGCTAGACCCCGCCCTTCTTTCGGAACAGGCCCTCCCTCTCCTCTCCGCCAGAGTCAGGCCCCGCCCCTTCGCTCTTTTGGAGTCCGCCCTCGCCCCTTACTTTCGCCCAGGCCCTGCCCCTTACTCTGAGTAGGAAACTGCTTCCTTTTTTGAGTAAGACCCCGCCCCTTCTGTGAGCCAGGCCCCTCCTTTTTCGCCGTCTCTAAGTCTGGCCGGGTCCCTTACCCCTCAGGAGCAGCTCGGGCTCCTCCTTCTCCGAGCCAGCCCCACCCCTCCTGGAATCTGGCCCCGCCCCCTTCTTTACCTCAGGGTCAGGCCCCGCCCCCTCCTCACTCTGTAGTGGGACGCCTCTCTCTTACCTTGCGCCGGACCCAGTCACCATCCTTTGCCTCCTTCCTTCCCTCTAATACAGTGTCCCCAAAAAGCTCACACTCTCCCCGCAAAACCCCTAGACTCCTGTAGGAACCCCCAGCCTAGTCCGAGTCCCCCAGAACCCTCGCATCTCCAGTCCTGCCACAGACTCCTCTTCTGAACGCCAGCCCGGCCCCGCTTACCCAAGGCCCCCAGCTCCGGCGCAGTGGACGGTCTGGCGACGCGGCGACTCGGCATGGCTCGACCAGTGGGGACCGACGGCCCGGAGGCCGGCCCAAACCAAAACACACACGCGGGCAGGCCGGGTGACCAGGCGGCACAGTCCGGCGAACGATCGCAGGTCGGGCGAGCGGCGCAGGGGCTGGGGCCGCAAGCCGGGCAGGACGCGCGGCGCCCGGGGCTGCGGGGGGCCGCGGGCCGGGCCGGGCG